ACTGGGTATACTTATTAACTTCCTAAAATCGGAAAAATTCTAAATTCTGAAACACACCCAGCCCCACAGGTTTTCAATAAAAGGTTATGAACATACATTATCTTTGAAGTCTGAACAATTTCTGTGTCCTTAAAATGAACGGTATCTTCCTGAATAACCATAAGCAAATTCACACCCCGAACTTAGCTGTACAGAATTTTAGGATGAAGAAAACATTTCCCAGTACAGACAGGAGGGCCCTGATTTCCAGAATGTTCCTTTCAAATAAAATCCATTCATAATATTTTATTTACACGCCACAGTAGTCAGAGCTTTCAAACTCTAGGGTTTGCTTGGGAAAAAAAAAAAAAAAAGCCTCGTCTCTTAACTTAGATCACAAATAAATGATTAAGGCTCCTTGGGGGGCAGTCATGTGCCCTGAATCATGGGTACCAAATCATCACAGAACTGCAGAGCTGGAAGAGACCCTCGAGAACTAATCTAAACCACAATCTCTTCCCTTCCAAACTGTTTTATCATCCCTAAATGTACTCTCTCCTGTGAGGTAAGAACAACCTGCCCTAACGTGTCCTTGGACTCTCAGTAGGAACACCCTGCAGGTGAACGTGAAGAAACTAGGTGGGGTACGCTGACAGACTGCAAATCCAAAATGATGGCTTGAATCTAACACAGTAAATCTTACATGCTTGGCAACTATCTCAGTTTATACTTTAGAGGATAACAAAGAGTTTCTAAGTACAGAATGAAGACAGACTTGTCTAGAACGTGTTTAAAAAAAAAAAAGACTTAAGTATCTTAATGGACTCAATGAGTCAACAAGGTAAAGCAGCTGCCAGAAAAGCTACTGTGATGAGGAGCTAAGTGCATCCACAGTAGTGCAGCATCCAGAAAGAATGAGGCAACTGCCCTCTCTACCACGAGCTGGTCGGAGCGCATCTGGGGGGACACGTTCAGTTCTGTGCTCTACACTCCGGGAGAGACACAGAAAAACTGAAAAGCTCCCTAAGAGGGGCAACCAGCAGAGTGTAAGGGAATCTGAAACCATTTCACATAAAGAACAGTTGAGGGAGCTGAAGTTATTTAGTCCAGACTCCGAGGGAACACGATGATTGCCCACAGATCCCTAAACTCTCAGGGCATAGAGACAGCTGACTTGTTCTGCGCGGCCCCAAAGGGCAGAGTTAGAACCGGCTGGTGTTAACCACAGAGAGAAATATTTCAGCTAAGTCCATGGAAGCATTTCTTGCAATGTAGAGCCACGTTAGGAGGTAGTGGCTTCTAAAGTCCTATCTAGCCCTGAAGGTCCATAATTTTAAAAATCAAACATTTATCATCACTTCAGTCTCTTACTATCAATAACTATTATACTCTAGTATCCTAGCCTCTCCCTTCACCCTTCGTAAAATGTCCTACCCAGCCAACCAATCAGTCAAATGTTTTGCCAGGACTGTGGGAGGAAAATGCTTGCTTGCTGGGCAATTAGTTTCAGTTTGCAGATCAGTGTCCCTGTAAACAAAAGAGGGCCCTTACTGAGTGGTAGACAAGAGCTCTCAACTAGATCATCATGGAAGAAATTCTTAATTCAAAGAGAGGCCAGAAGACCCATCTAGACACATAATGTATTATCGGTGCTGTTCAGTTTTATACAAACATTAAAATAAAACACCCTGTTCATCTTCCCAAAAGCCAGAGAATCCAATTTTGCCAACCTAACTAGGTCTTTCAAATTCAGTTAGAACCAGGTCTTTCAAATCTCTTTCCTCTGTCGAGGAGATGCATTTACTGTTTGAAGTAGACTAGAACCCATGTTCAGATAGAAAGACCAGACTCAATTACATTACTGTAAAGCTAAAACTGCCCAGTAAAGCAGTAAGCCCACAAAGGCAGTTCAGCTGCTGAGAACTAGATAGAGGCAGGCCATAGTGAATTCACAGAAAACTACAAGCTACAGAAAATTTAAAACACAGCAGAGCTACCAAAATTGAGCACCTTAAAATTTCTGTTGCCCAAAGACCATCACAGACATAGGTATATGGTAGTCCGTGGAACTTACTAAAGGCCTTGAACAGTTCCGATGGCAAATATTACTCAATCCAGCTTTGCTTTACTTACAATCGATTTGGAGTCTACAAAACTCCAGACAAGGTATTAGAGAATATAATACGATGGACTAATAATATAATATGATGGACTAAACAAGAACACATTCTTCTCTGAGCTTTTTAAAGTGAAGCCAAGAAGCAATCCAAGTATCCATAAACAAGAGATTAGTTAAATAGATACGGTATATACTTACAATGAAAAATACAACTGCTGAAAAGAATAAGGTACACTTTAGGTACTGACATGAAAAAAAAGGCCATGATACACAGTTAAGTGGATATGGCAAGTTGCAAAACTCTATGGCTTGCAGTATATGTACGTAATTATTATATTTAATGTATATAATTTATATATTATTTCATCTTGAGCTTTTGAAAACTATTTTTTAATAATCCTGTGTTTACGGACTTCCCTAGTGGTCCAGTGGCTAAGACTCTGCGCTCCCAATGCAGGGGCCACAGGTTCGAACCCTGCTGAGGGAATGCAATCCTGCATGTCACAACTTGCTTCTGAGAAAAGATCAAACTGTTAATAGCAGTAACATTTAAGGACTGACAGGAACTGGGAAGAAGTAAAGTGGGTGGGGAGAACTTCCACTCTTTACTTGTGGACTTTTGGTGCTTTGTAATTTTTGCAGGTAAAGGTTATCTTTGTAGACAAATGCTATGAGTTCCCCATATGAGGAACCTGGAATAGGCAAATTCACAGAGACAGGAAGTAGAATGGTGGTTGCTAGGAATAAGGTGGATGGCTGGCCATTGAGGAGTTATTGTTTAATGGATACAGAGTTTCAGCTGGGGAAGGTAAAAAAAGAGAGTCCTGAAGATGGATGGTAGAGATGGTTAAACAATTTGAATGTGCTTAATGCCACTAAACTGTACACTTAAAAATGGTTAAAATGGTAAATTTTATGTTATGTATATTTTATCACAAAGAAAAAGCAACATAAAAGGAAAAAAGGTTACCTTTGTGATTTAAAAATAACAATGCAAACATTAAGGTAAAATAACATCAATTACACAGACTTATGACATACTAACCTTCCAAAAGAAGGAATCTTCCTACATAAACACTACTGTGTGCTTCAAACTTTGGAAAATCTAATTTATCCTTTTCTATTATATTTTACCTAGAGGAGGAAATGGCAATTCACTCCAGTATTCTTGCCTGAAAAATCCCATGGACAGAGGATTCTGACAAGCTATAACCCATAAGGTCGCAAGGAATCGGACATGACTGAGCACACATACTACCATTACATTTTACTGAAACAAATAAAAATCATCACAAGTCCCTATTAGGTTCCTCAAATGCTTTCTACCCCATTTAAAAAAATTATCATAATGATAGTTAACATACATACAGAGCTAATTTACTCTGCACCCGGAACTACTGTTCTAAGCTCTATAAATGCACTTAGTTAATTTTCCCAGGATTTCACAGAAAATTTCAAAGAATTCACAGCAATCCTATGAGCTAAATACTATTATTATCTTCATTTCTCAGATGAAGAGAGGTTAACTGACCTTCCCAAATTACACAGTTAATAAAAGGCAGCAGAGCTAGGGTTCACACTAAGAATGGACTTGAGTCCATACTCTCAACCACTATGATTCCTGCCTCTCAGTATCATGTCAGTCTCTATAGGGAGGCCAAAAAAGGTTACAGTCAAAATCCAGCTAGTTAGCACACTCCTTGAAGCTGGAAGAAATACCAACTTGGCTTCTTATGGGTGAATAATCTGCATTCCTACTTATGTCAATGCCAAGCTCCAATCCAATATTGGACTGTATTATGACTCATAATCATGTGGGAAAACTCTCTACAAATTCAATTATAGTCCAAAGTCCATACCTGACCCCACAGTAAATCACTGAGCCTAAGAATTAGGTCAGAGATCCATTAATATAAATCCAGCTAAAGGCAAAATGGTTTGGACAAATCAAACCCCAACTCAAAGCAAAGGAATTCAAAAACTCTTGTCTAACACCTGACAAGGCAGGTTTTATTTAGTTCCAGGCCCACTTTAGATCTTAAGAGAAAAAGAACAGAAGTTGTCTCTAACTGCTTGAAGACTTTCAATCAGCAGGAAGAAGAGCTTTATTTTTTACCAGGACTCAGACAGAAATTGGCTTTTATCAACATCAGCAAAACTGAACATTCCCCTTAAGGAGGAAAAAATGGGCCTCCCTGCTTAAATTGTGTATTTGCCCAAACATATTGACCTTGTAATTGAGGAAGGAAAAGAAAAAAAAAATGGTTCAAGGAAAGGATTTAACCTAATTTATAAATGTGCTCAGCCTAGATACACACCTGTCCCAAATGACTACTGAATCCATTCTTCTGCAGGGAAAACACGGATTACAATTTCTTTTTTCTTTTGGCCTCAAGTGGTCTGTACTACTGTTTGTAAACAAAATCCTCTCAATATCTTTTCCACCTGTCACACGCACAGCTGATATTTACATGGACAAGGAACGTGGAGCCTTAGGAGGAATCCCTTCGGTTTCTGACCTATTGGTCGCGGGAGGTCCCGTGCTGGTTCTCAGACTTCCCCAGATCACCCAGGCGGAGAGGCAGGGTGAGCGGACCGAACCCAAAAGTTTGCGCCCATCCAGCGCAGCTGAGAAAGGCCAGAGAGCGCTGTTTGGAAGGAGGTGCGATGCCTTCCACGCAGCAGTCGCTCCCCTCCCAAGGAAGCACAGCCCAAGTGGGGGACAAAAGACTTTCCATACTGGGGGCTGGGGAGGGGGGTGGGGCTTGGACCTCCCCTTGGAAGTCGAAATCTGGGGAACCTCTGGGGGCAAGAAATGGTCCATTCCAGCCAAAAAGCCCAACGCTAGAAGGACGGGGAGCCGCGGGGAGGGTCCGGCGGCCGAGGAGGCGCTGGGACTCACCTGGGGGAGGCGGAGAGGGGGCTTCGGTGGCAGGTGGGGTGGGCGGGACGCTGCTGCTGCTGCTGCCGCCGCCGCCGCCGGGGAGAGCCGAGGTCGGGATCGGGGGAGCGGTGGGCGCCCGCACCGTGGTCGCTACAGGGGTGGTCGGCGCTGGGTCAGTGGTCGTCGAGAGGGTGGTCGGCGCGGGTCTGGCTGTCACCCGAGGGGTAGTCGGAGTACGTTCCACCGCAGGAGGTGTGACCCGCGAGGGAACGAGCGATGCCTGAGAGGTGGTCGGAGCGGGCCCGGCGGTGGTCGGAGGAGGGGTGGTCTCCGGGGGCTGGGCTGAGGAAGACGCAGCCTGGGGTCGGTGGAGGGTGGCGCGCGGGGGTCCGGTCCTCGGGGCCTGGGCTGTGGGAGCCGTGGCCTTAGAGAAAGGGTGGCTGGGCTCGCCCCCCAGCCACGGGCCCAGCGACGCGTTCACCTGCCCCGCGGCCCCGCCGCCGCCGGTGACATTACCCGCCGAGGTGGCTGAGGCGGCGGCGGCGGCGGCGGCGGCGCACAACAGGGCGAGGCCGCCCAGGCTCGGCAGGCTCCTCATGGCGCGCTCGGCTTCGCCATTCATTCATTCAGTCAGTCAGCCGGTCGGTCAGTCATCTTCTCCTCGCTGCACTCGGACCAGGGAAGCCGCCGCAGCCGCCGCCGCCACCGGGCGCACCATCGCCACCTCCCTCTGACAGGCGGCCGGCCCCGCGGGCGGGCCCCGGCGCGGAGGGAGCGACCGGGCCGAGAGCGGACGGCCCGCCCTCCCTGATTAGCAGCCTGGCCGGGCCTATGGGAGGCCACGCCGTCTCACGTGATCTGCCCGCTTCCCGGCCTCTTTGTGGCCCTACGAGCCAATCAGAGGGCGCTGAGGAGAGGGGGCGGTGCTAAGGCGAGAGGTGGGTGGAGCGAGCGCCGCTCCAGCCGGTCAGACTAGCGGCAGCCCCGGCTTTGTCTGCCCTAGAAGCGGGGCGCGGGCCCCGGGCCCCGGGCGCCGGGGAGCAGACAAAGGACGCGCCCGGCGCGGCAGACTCCGGGCCAAGTCGTCCGCTCCACTGGGCGGCGAGCGCGACCCCGGGACGGGGACTTGGCTCTTGGGAGCTTCCCTGCTCTCTTAAACAATGGGGCGCCAGCGCCTCGCCCGGGCTCGGGTGGGGACGGAGCTGGAACCCCCGCGATGGGTGAGGGTGGCAGCTGCGAGGATGTAGATCACAGCACCTCCTCTGCTGCCCGAGAGCGCCCGGCCTCGGCCCTGCGAGGTCTTCGCTGCATTCCCATTTCAGAGATGAGGAAACTGAGGCCCTTGTTGAGGACCTTACCGAACCAAGACCCACGCCCTCACCAGGCACCTGCTTTGGGCCAGGCGCTGTACCTGGCGGGACGGGGGTTCTAGAGACCCGTTAGGAGTGAGGTGCAAGTTTCCTGCGTGGGGGTGACAGGCTCACATGCACACTTCACCTTACACGGGAGAGTGAGGTCGGAAAGGGTTGAACCTCAGCTCCAAGCTTCCTGCTGAGTGGTTTTGTGGCCTGAGTGCAGTTTTCTCACCTCTAAAATGGGGTTGATGGCAGCTAACATCCCCACCGCCCACCCCTCTCTCACAGAGCTGATGTGAGAATTAAGTAATGCCCTGAAAGGGCTTAACGCAGTGCCTGGCCCACAGTAAACCCTCATTAATGCTGACTACACTCTGCGTACTGGGTTAGGACAAGCCCCACGCCGCAGACCTGCGTGTCCTCAGAGCCGCCTGCCTATTGCGGGGCTAGGGGTGGGTCTGACCACAGAGTTTGACCCTGGGTGACACTAAACCCTGTGTAAAGCTGGAATTCCGATGCGCAGCCTCGCACCATCACCCAGGATTCAGAGCTCGCTCAGGCGCTGCAGCCGGGCAGGGCGCGTTTGTCATCTGACAGGGCTTAATCCCAGCCCCACCGCCAACCCATTCCTGGCCTCCCCTGCATGATGCTTCCTTTGTGCATGGCTTCCCATTAGTCACCGGCCTCCAACCAGAACTGGGCGATCATATTTGCGTGCGAACCTGTGTATCTGTTAATTAAAAATGCACTTGTTTACCTGAATGAGGAGTGGGTGGGGAGAGGGCCTGTATGTGCTTGTGTAATGAAACATAAACATGTTTGTGAGTCTGTGTATATGCGTGTATATTTGTATGATCTTATGAGTATGGGAGCTGGTAGCTATTTTTGCATATTGTATGTTTTTAAATATCTGCACATGGACTGGTGTGTGTTTTATGTGTATTTTCTGTGTGTTTTTACATTTGTACCTATGTGTGATTCAGATGGTAAAGAATCTGCCTGCAATGCAGGAGACCTGGTTCATCACTGGGTTGGGAATATCCCCTGGAGAAGGAAATGACAACCAACTCCAGTATTCTTGCCTGGAGAATTCCATGGACAGGGGAGCCTGGTGGGCTACCATCCATGGGATGACAAAGGCTTGAACTGGACTTAGCAATTAAACAACAGCAACATGAGTGTATCTTAATAGATCCCTCTATGTATGTAAGGGGAGGGGGCAAAATGGGAGGAGTGTGCGTGGGTTCTGGTTTCAAACCAATATTTAGGAAGTGCAAATCAAGATTCTGTTTTTACTTCTCTTGGGGAAGGGAGGGGATAGGTCAAGCCCCTCCCATAGTCTTTTGCTGAATCTTTCTAGCCCTTCCAACCCCAGCCCAAATACCATATCCTCTAAGAGAAATTTCTGGATCTCTGAGTAGGAATTAATCTCTCTCTCTCCCTATTTTCCCACTGCCCTTTGTTTGTTCATTGATTATAGCCCTGATCTATCAGTCTCTCTATCCCCTGCCTCTTCCTGAAAGGATTAAGGATGGCTTTCAGAAATGTATGCAACAGGATATATTGGATTGCCCCCATGGCTTCGTTACTCCTCACAGGCATGCATCAGTGGGAATACTAGAACTTGGGGTTTCTGTCTCTCCTCCATTAGGCTGCTCTCTCTGCTCTCAGTGCTCAGCAGGGGGGACACATGTGAGCACAAATCCATGCTGGTTAGTTTGAATTACATCGCAACGAGACCCTGTGGTGCCCTGAGAAGAGTTTGTATCTTTAAAGTCAGACAGAGCCAGGTCATGACTCTGCCAGCTCTGTGACCTTGGAGGAAAAACCTTTGACCTCTCTGAGCCTCAGTTTCCTCATCTATAAAATGGGACCAGTGAATTCTGCCTCAGTTAAGCTGAGGCCCGAAGGGGACGTTTTCACAGAGGCTGGCATGCAGAAGGTGCTCAGCCTCACTCATGCCAGTGCTGACGCTGAGCCTTGTTGGCTGGCTGAAGGACCACAACCAGAAAGAACTTCTCCATCGGGTGGCATGGCCTGAGCCACCCTACCAGATATCCCAAGTGATAGCTGAAAGATCCTGGGTTGGCCCTGAGCTGTGCTACATCAGAGATTCCCGGGCACTACAAGAGAAAAGCTGATACAGCTTCTTTGCCTGGAGAATCACAGAGAAAAGACTAGAAGGCTTTGCCAAAGTAATCCAGGCCAGCTCCCTGCCTCAGACAGGGATCACCCCCACTGCAGGTTCTAAAATGAGTTAATTACCCTGTTGACATATATAGTAAATGTTGCATTTTCTGGAAAGGTGATTCAAGTGTCTTAATGTGGATTCACTCCCCGTTTAATACTTAAATTTCTTTTTCTGCCTTTATCTCTAAACAGCAAGATGACTTTTTGTTTGTTTCTTAGGAATAATATTTTACTTTTGTGTTTAAAAATTAGGAACGCTCCAAATATCCAATGTCAGAGACAGGTGTTGTATCTCTTTTAATCATAAAAAGTCATTGTAATGGTGGCTATGAAGACATTACAAAAATATTAATAACCGGCCATTGAGCTCTTACTGTGTGCTACATGTTATCCTAAAAGCTACATATGACTTCTTTTGTTTAATCCTAAGAAAGACCCCAGGAAGTAGGTATTAACACTATTGTTTGGTTGTTGTTCAGTCACTAAGTCATCTCTGACTCTTTGCGATGCCATGGAGTGCAGCACGCCAGGCTGCCCTGTCCTTCACTATCTCCTGAAGTTTGCTCAGATTCATGTCCATTGAGTCAGTGATACTATCTAACCATCTATTAATATCCCCACTTTACAAATAAGAAAACTAGACCATAGAAATGTTAAACAGCTTGCCCAAGGTTACTTAGTGATAGAGCCAGAAATCAAACTAAGGCTGGCTGACTCTAGCTGGCACCCTTAACAACTCTGCTCTAAACAGAAAATGCTGATGATATGTTAAGAAAAGAGAAGATAAAAATCATGGCTATGACTCTGTGTAACACAATGTTGTTTGGTACTTTTCCAGAACTGCAGCTAAGGTCCAGGGCTCTAAAGAGAGCTGTCAACCCATCCGTGGCATCCGGGGCCACTGGACTTAATGGGGGGGAGGAGTTGCAGTGGGAAGGGATGCACAGAGCAGAGAGGGCAGAGAGAGCTGACCCCTCTGGATCCTCAGCACCTAGCACAGTGGCAAATAAAAAGAAATGACTCAAGAATGTTCTGTTGAGCTAAATGAGGCCTTGTGATGTGGCAGACACCATTCCAGGAGTTTTGCATTTGTAACCTATTTATTCCCCAAAGGTAGGGTTATCACCTGTGCTTGAAAGAAGGCAAAAGAGAGCCTCAGAGAGGTTAAAGGACTTGCCCAACACCTGTGTGTGTGTGTGTGTGCGCGCGCGTGCACGCACTAAGTTGATTTTAGTTGTGACTCTATGTGACCCCATGGACTGTAGCCTGCCAGGCTCCTCTGTCCATGGGATTCTCCAGGCAAGAATACTGGAGTGGGTTGCCATGCCCCTCCTCCAGGGGATCTTCCCCACCCGAGGATCAAAGCCACATCCTTATGTCTCCTGCACTGGCAGGCGGGATCCTTCCCATTACATTGGGAAGCCCCTGCCCAGCACCTGCCTGGCTCCCGAACCAGGCCGTTCTCTAGACGCCACAGCCTTCCTTGTGGCCACTGGCCCTTGCACATGGTAGGCGGTCAGCGAACACATACTGAAAGAAAGAATAGGTGTACACCGAATCTAACCTTCCTGCTAGAGCAGCATTTTAAAAAAGAGAAGCTTTGGGAGTAAGAAAAGAAGGCATAATAATACAATCAGCAAAAATAACTTCATCTCTCAGATTCCAATAAAACATAGAAACTTTCCCCTTTCTGGTTTCATTGAAGCAGCAAGGCTGATATGGACTATTTCTAATCCTGCCGGAGCCTAGGCTCCTATCAGATGTGGCCAGATGCAAAGTTGGACATCATCCGTGGACAACTTTAGTTATTGGGGCCACTATGAACAAAGTCTGCTCATCAAAGGACACTAGCGACTCATGGAAAGGAAAATACAAATGGCTAAGATACATGAAATATTGTGTATTCAACTTAAGTAATCAAAGATTTGAGAACTGAGACAGTAATTTACTTTTTTTTTTTTAGCCTATTGATTTGGCAACAATTTTTTAAAAATGGTAATACTTGTTGCTGGTGAGGGAATGCCTCACAGAATTGATGAGAATGTGAAGTGTCTTCTCTCTAACTTGTTACTTTCGC